GAGCAGTGTGTGTTCTATTAAACACTGAACAGTGTGAAGTGAAATTCAGTGTGTTGTATTAAGTAGAAGTGTGAATTTCAGTGACAGGGTTTTGCGTAGCACATGCTCAGAACGTTTAGAAAACGGGAACAAGCATCCGGGGGACGGGGCGAACAGGACACTAGGCCACTGATTTTTCCCCCCCATGGTATTCCGATACTACTCGGTATCATGATAGTTGGCCTCGTGATAGTTGGCCTGGTATCGTATCATTAGTCAAATGATGGTATCGTGACAACACTAATTATATCCGGTCTTTACATTTTACATTTACATTTACGTCATTTAGCAGACGCTCTTATCCAGAGCGACTTACAAATTGGTGCATTCACCCTATAGCCAGTGGGATAACCACTTTACAATAAATAAATAAAATTTGGGGGGGGGGGTAGAAGGATTACTTTATCCTATCCCAGGTATTCCTTAAAGAGGTGGGGTTTCAAATGTCTCCGGAAGGTGGTGAGTGACTCCGCTGTCCTGGCGTCGTGAGGGAGCTTGTTCCACCATTGGGGTGCCAGAGCAGCGAACAGTTTTGACTGGGCGGGAACTATGCTTCCGCAGAGGAAGGGGAGCCAGCAGGCCAGAGGTGGATGAACGCAATGCCCTCGTTTGGGTGTAGGGACTGATCAGAGCCTGAAGGTACAGAGGTGCCGATCCCCTCACAGCTCCATAGGCAAGCACCATGGTCTTCTAACAGATGCGAGCCTCAACTGGAAGCCAGTGGAGTGTGCGGAGGAGCGGGGTGACGTGAGAGAACTTGGGAAGGTTGAACACCAGACGGGCTGCGGCATTCTGGATGAGTTGTAGGGGTTTAATGGCACAGGCAGGGAGCCCAGCCAACAGCGAGTTGCAGTAATCCAGACGGGAGATGACAAGTGCCTGGATTAGGACCTGTGCCGCTTCCTGTGTAAGGCAGGGTCGTACTCTCCGAATGTTGTAGAGCATGAACCTGCAGGATCGGATCACCGCCTTGATGTTAGCGGAGAACGACAGGGTGTTGTCCAGGGTCACGCCAAGTCTCTTCGCACTCTGGGAGGAGGACACAACGGAGTTGTCAACCGTGATGGCGAGATCATGGAACGGGCAGTCCTTCCCCGGGAGGAAGAGCAGCTCCGTCTTGCCAAGGTTCAGCTTGAGGTGGTGATCCGTCATCCATACTGATATGTCTGCCAGACATGCAGAGATGCGATTCGCCACCTGGTTATCAGAAGGGGGAAAGGAGAAGATTAGTTGTGTATCGTCAGCGTAGCAATGATAGGAGAGGCCATGTGAGGATATGACAGAGCCAAGTGACTTGGTGTATAGGGAGAATAGGAGAGGGCCTAGAACTGAGCCCTGGGGGACACCAGTGGTGAGAGCACGTGGTGCGGAGACAGCTTCTCGACACGCCACTTGGTAGGAGCGACCGGTCAGGTAGGACGCGATCCAGGAGTGAGCCGCGCCGGAGATGCCCAGCTCGGAGAGGGTGGAGAGGAGGATCTGATGGTTCACAGTATCAAAGGCAGCAGACAGGTCTAGAAGGACAAGAGCAGAGGAGAGAGAGTTAGCTTTAGCAGTGTGGAGAGCCTCCGTGACACAGAGAAGAGCAGTCTCAGTTGAATGACCAGTCCTGAAACCTGACTGGTTTGGATCAAGAAGGTCATTCTGAGAGAGATAGCAAGAGAGTTGGCTAAAGACGGCACGCTCAATAGTTTTGGAAAGAAAAGAAAGAAGGGATACTGGTCTGTAGTTGTTGACATCAGTGGGATCGAGTGTTGGTTTTTTGAGAAGGGGTGCAACTCTCGCTCTCTTGAAGACGGAAGGGACATAGCCAGCGGTCAAGGATGAGTTGATCAGCGAGGTGAGGTAGGGGAGAAGGTCACCGGAGATGGTCTGGAGAAGAGAGGAGGGGATGGGGTCAAGCGGGCAGGTTGTTGGGCGGCCTGCAGTCACAAGTCGCAAGAAAGAAGTCAAAGCATAGGGTAGAGCAGTGTGAGCAGGACCAGCAGTGTCATTAGACTTAACAAACGAGGATCGGATGTCGTCAACCTTCTTTTCAAAGTGGTTGACGAAGTCATCCACAGAGAGAGAGGAGGGGGGGGGGGGGGGGGGGGGAGGATTCAGCAGGGAGGAGAATGTGGCAAAGAGCTTCCTAGGGTTAGAGGCAGATGCTTGGAATTTAGAGTGGTAGAAAGTGGCCTTAGCAGCAGAAACAGATGAAGAAAATGTAGAGAGGAGGGAGTGAAAAGATGCCAGGTCGGCAGGGAGTTTAGTTTTCTTCCATTTCCGCTCCGCTGCCCGGAGCTCTGTTCTGTGAGCTCGCAATGAGTCATCAAGCCACGGAGCTGGAGGGGAGGACCGAGCCGGCCGGGAGGATAGGGGACACAGAGAGTCAAAGGATGCAGAAAGGGAGGAGAGGAGGGTTGAGGAGGCAGAATCAGGAGATTGGAGGGAGAAGGGTTGAGCAGAGGGAAGAGATGATAGAATGGAAGAGGAGAGAGTAGTGGGAGAGAGAGAGCGAAGGTTGCGGCGGCGCATTACCATCTGTGTAGGGGCAGAGTGAGTAGTGTTGGAGGAGAGCGAGAGAGAAAAGGATACAAATTAGTGGTCGGAGACATGGAGGGGAGTTGCAGTGAGATTAGTAGAAGAGCAGCATCTAGTAAAGATGAGGTCAAGCGTATTGCCTGCCTTGTGAGTAGGGGGGGACGGTGAGAGGGTGAGGTCAAAAGAGGAGAGGAGTGGAAAGAAGGAGGCAGAGAGAAATGAGTCAAAAGTAGACGTAGGGAGGTTGAAATCCCCCAAAACTGTGAGGGGTGAGCCATCCTCAGGAAAGGAACTTATCAAGGCGTCAAGCTCATTGATGAACTCTCCAAGGGAACCTGGAGGGCGATAGATGACAAGGATATTAAGCTTAAATGGGCTAGTGACTGTGACAGCATGGAATTCAAATGAGGAGATAGACAGATGGGTTAGGGAAAAAATTGAGAATGTCCACTTGGGAGAGATGAGGATTCCTGTGCCACCACCCCTCTGACCAGATGCTCTCGGGGTATGCGAGAACACATGGTCAGACGAGGAGAGAGCAGTAGGAGTAGCAGTGTTTTCAGTGGTAATCCATGTTTCCGTCAGCGCCAGGAAGTCGAGGGACTGGAGGGTAGCATAGGCTGGGATGAAGTCAGCCTTGTTGGCAGCAGAACGGCAGTTCCAGAGGCTGCCTGAGACCTGGAACTCCAGGTGTGGGGTGCGTGCAGGGACCACCAGGTTAGAGAGGCAGCAGCCACGCGGTGTGAGGCGTTTGTGTAGCCTTTGCGGAGAGCAGAGAACAGGGATAGGCAGAGGCCATTGACAGGCTGTAGCAAATGGCTACAATAATGCAGAGGAGATCGGAATGAAATGAACTAAACATCTGGGAAAGGAGAGAGTAACCAAAACTCCCAAATATAACTCTCCCAACTTCCACCTCAGAAACTATAATTGTTTCACTGAACCACCCGAATAAAACTCTCCCAACTTCCACTTTAGAAATTAGAATTGTTGTGAACTACAGCGGTTCAATGTTTCAAGGAATAGACTCAACTTACTTTATTCAGCTAGCTAACTATGACGCCATAGCTAACTAGCATGCTAGCATCCAATAACACACAGTTTAGCACCAATACTTGGTTACAACAAACTACCAATAGTGTGTTAACACACTAAACATATAATTAGTGTCCGTGTCTAGTTCCTTTCATAACGCAGCAATAATTAAACGTTGGCTAGCTAGCACAAATATATTGTATTTAGCTGCTACAGTACAGCTAGCTGGTCGTGTTGGCTAGCTAGCAATGGCTGCTGTGTTGACTTTGTTTGAAAAACGGCGGCGCTGCGAACAAATGTAGCTGGCTAAAAGGATATTGTATTTAGTTGCTACCGTTGCTAATAGCTACTCGCCAGCTAGTCCAGAAGGTGAGTTAGCTAGCTAGCTAGCTTCGTGCTACACCCGGCACCGCCGAATACAAAGCTAACCTACAATAACTATAAATATCTCTTTAAATATACTCCCTTATCCTGTCTTATGGACACATATCAGAGCTTAGCCTTGCATGTTGATCGTTGATCGTAACTAAGCATTTCCAAAACTAAGCAAATCGAAAGTAAGCATTTTACTGTTAGTTGTTTTACGAGGCATGTGACAAATCAAATTTGATTTAACTGACACAGACCTGCTGTGGTTACTCAGTAAGTAGCCTCGTCGAGACCCAGGCTTCCCTAATTGGTAAGCCTGGTGAAGTCAATGGCAGAAAGTAGCTACAATGGGGTGGAATCCTGGTGTGATTGGTTTGACGCAACACGTCAAACCAATCACTCCAACAGTGCGTGAGGATGGCTGGGATTAAAACCCCATCAAAATATGTTGATGAATGCCGTGTTTCAATTTCAATAAATCGCAGACTGTCGGCCACACTTGATACACTAAACTTTGACCATAGCCTGTAGGTAGACACGCCATAATGTCTCTTTTTTTTGTAGAGCGTTCAACCAGAGAAGAGCTGTAATGCCTTCATCGACTCGATTGGTCGGAAAACAGTAATGAACATAACACGTAACGCAGCACCCCTTCTACGGGCATGTGGGAGAGGGTTCTTGAAATGTAACGGCCAATCAAAATGTAGCCGCTTCCAGCGGACCATTCTAGCCATTTCGACTAATACAAAGTTCTCCAGACCTCCAAAGGAGTGCCGTAACTACAACGTGATTTGGAGGTATGGCTACGCGAGACTACTCAGTGAGTGACTGCCCTAACTCCTGATGTTGGACTCTCTTAAAGAGTATTGTCCTTTCACTCTCTCCTTTTTTCACATCAAGTGCTGACCTGAGTATTAAATTATATGTTCTGTTCTGAATGACATGAGTGCCACGTTAGTTACCTAGTCAACAAGTTGTCATCTCTCCCTTAATTCTCTTGATCTCCCTCTCTGTTAGGCCCGGGCTACACCAACCCCTACACTTCCAACATGTCCTCTCCCTTCTCCGCCCCCAGCACCAGCGACAGCTTCAACGGTAGCAACTGGGAGGACAAGAACATCCGACGCATGTTCATTCGCAAGGTGAGAGGCTCTATCTAGTGCCCTTTTCTTTTGTCAACATCTTTTTATTGACTCTTGACATTTTTATTGACAAAGGCTCAACAAATTCAAGAGGTGGCGATGAAGGTCTGCCCTTTGTTCAGTTCATGTTGAAATTCTCTATTGTATGCTAATACTGATCATTTTTATAATGTACAGGTTTTTCTGATATAAGACAATGATCAGAAAACTAAGCCTTTTGATCTCCCGAGTGGCGCAGCAGTGTAAGGCGATGCAGTGCCTTACACTGCTGCGCCACTTGAGGCGTCACTACAGATCCGGGTTCGGTCCCGGGCTGTGTCGCAGCCAGCCGCGACCGGGAGACCCATGAGGCGGCGCACAATTGGCCCAGCGTCGTCCGGGTTAGGGGAGGGTCTGGCCGGCCGGGATGTCCTTGTCCCATCGCGCTCCAGCGACACTTGTGTCGGGCCGGGCGCATGCACACTGACACGGTTACCAGTTGTACGGTGTTTCCTCCAACACATTGGTGCAGCTGGCTTCTGGGTTAAGCGAGCAGTGTGTCAAGAAGCAGTGCGGCTTGGCAGGGTCGTGTTTTGGAGGACGCATGGCTCTCGACCTTCGCCTCTCCCGAGTCCATACGGGAGTTGCAGCAATGGGACAAGACTGTAACTACCAATTGGATGTCACGAAATTGGGGAGAAAAAGGAGGGAAAAGTACAACAAAATAAATAAATAATGGTATGGAATAGCTAAGCACTTAGGATCAATCTGAATACATTTTTTATTAGTGTTTTCTTCCAAACCTCTGTGTTGCTTTCCTATATTTTCACCCAGCGCTTGATATAATGGGAGTTTCCTCCCGCTTCCGGCACTAATGTGTAGCAGCACTGTGTCTTAATGTTGTTCTGCCTGAACTAGGCCATTTCACATTTCACTGTGCCCCTTTTGAATGGCCACAGTGAGTGTCGATAATATTTACCTTTGTGGATAGTCTTTTTCTAAAAGGGACCCATACTAGCACTCTGTTTGTCGTTGTTAAAATATATAGTGTTTTAACAGCTTCCTGTTTCATTTGGTCATTCCATGTCAAATCAACAAGTCATGACAGCCACCATTTCAGAAAAATCTGAGATGGTGGGTGTCATAAACCACTTTCTTGTGTTCATTTGACATGGAATGACCCATTTGTCTTTATTTGGTCTTGTTTCCATTTAACTCTAATCCTCTCAACTATCCTCATTTAACACTGTCCTATTGTTTTTAACTGTCAAAAGACTACCTTCAGAACTTGAAAGCATGTGCTCACAGTGAGTGATATTTCATCAGTACAGCACTAGACGTAACCATTGAAACGTAGATTAATCTTATCTGGTAGATTTACATTTTTAGTCATTTAGCAGACGCTCTTATCCAGAGCGACTTACAGTTAGTGAGTGCATACATTTTCATACTGGCCCCCCGTGGGAATCGAACCCATAACCCTGGCGTTGCAAGCGCCATGCTCTACCAACTGAGCTACACGGGGATATATAGAAGATAAATAATTTTTCACACTATACTATCCTGCTGACCCAAACCAAACTGTGCTGTCACTTTTACATTATCTTCTTCAGCAACTACGGTGGATGCGTAACCAGGCCAGCTCAGTGCAGCTTGGTTTGGCTCGGCTCGATTCGATTGGTCTCAGTAGTGTGAAAAGCCCTATAGTGTCTTCTGTCTTAGTAGTGTGAAGTCCTCTCAGCTAGGATGTTGTGAGAGGCTATCTAACACATCCTATTCCTATCCTCAGGTGTTCACTATCCTCATGGTCCAGCTATTGGTGACCTTTGGTATCGTGGCACTCTTCACATTTTGGTGAGGTCCACTGTCATGAAACCACACTCCAGAAAACAGTTGAGGGCCCAATTTAATAAGCGTTTTTGCACTTGCAAACTGGTTATTTTCTGAATGACAAACAACAAACACCTCAACGGGTGCAAACTTTGCCCTTGTTACAAACGCTTAGTTAGAAAAAGCTGTCTCCATATTGTAATAAAAAAGGTATTCTCCACAGTTATTACAGTTGAAGTCGGAAGTGTACATACACTTAGGTTGGAGTCATTAAAACTTGTTTTTCAACCACTCCACTAATTTCTTGTTAACAAACTATAGTTATGGCAAGTCGGTTAGGACATCTACTTTGTGCATGTGCATGCAAGTAATTTTTCCAACAATTGTTTACAGACAGATTATTTCACTTATAATTCACTGTATCACAATTCCAGTGGTCAGAAGTTTACATACACTAAGTTGACTGTGCCTTTAAACAGCTTGGAAAATTCCAGAAAATGATGTCTGGCTTTAGAAGCTTCTGATAGGCTAATTGACATAATTTGAGTAAATTGGAGGTGTACCTGTGGGTGTATTTCAAGGCCAACCTTCAAACTTTGCTTTGCTTGACATCATGGGAAAATCAAAAGAAATCAGCCAAGACCTCAGAATTTTTTTTTAGACCTCCATAAGTCTGGTTCATCCTTGGGAGCAATTTCCAAACGCCTGAATGTACCACGTTCATCTGTACAAACAATAGTACGCAAGTATAAACACCATGGGACCACGCAGCCGTCATACCGCTCAGGAAGGAGACGCGTTCTGTCTCCTAGAGATTAAGGTACTTTGGTGCGAAAAGTGCAAATCAATCCCAGAACAACAGCAAAGGACCTTGTGAAGATGCTGGAGGAAACAGGTACAAAAGTATCTATATCCACAGTAAAACGAGTCCTATATCGACATAACCTGAAAGGCCACTCAGCAAGGAAGAAGCCACTGCTCCAAAACCGCCATAAAAAAGCCAGACTACGGTTTGCAACTGCACATGGGGACAAAGATTGTACTTTTTGGAGAAATGTCCTCTGGTCTGATGAAACAAAAATATAACTGTTTGGCCATAATGATCATCATTATGTTTGGAGGAAAAGGGGTGTATTTGCAAGCCGAAGAACACAATCCCAACCGTGAAGAACGGGGGTGGCAGCATCATGCTGCAGGAGGGACCGGTGCACTTCACAAAATAGATGGCATCATGAGGAAGGGAAATTATGTGGATATACTGAAGCAACATCTCAAGACATCAGTTAGGAAGTTAAAGCTTGGTCGCAAATGGGTCTTCCAAATGGACAATGACCCCAAGCATACAGTGAGGGAAAAAAGTATTTGATCCCCTGCTGATTTTGTACTTTTGCCCACTGACAAAGAAATGATCAGTCTATAATTTTTATGGTAGGTTTATTTGAACAGTGAGAGACAGAATAACAACAAAAAAATCCAGAAAAACCCATTAAAAAATTTTTATAAATTGATTTGCCATTTTAATGACAGAAATAAGTATTTGACCCCTCTGCAAAACATGACTTAGTACTTGGTGGCAAAACCCTTGTTGGCAATCACAGAGGTCAGACGTTTCTTGTAGTTGGCCCGCAGGTTTACACACATCTCAGGAGGGATTTTGTCCCACTCCTCTTTGCAGATCTTCTCCAAGTCATTAAGGTTTCGAGGCTGACGTGTGGCAACTCGAACCTTCAGCTCCCTCCACAGATTTTCTATGGGATTAAGGTCTGGAGACTGGCTAGGCCACTCCAGGACCTTAATGTGCTTCTTCTTGAGCCACTCCTTTGTTGCCTTGGCCGTGTATTTTGGGTCATTGTCATGCTGGAATACCCATCCACGACCCATTTTCAATGCCCTGGCTGAGGGAAGGAAGTTCTCACCAAAGATTTGACGGTACATGGCCCCGTCCATCGTCCCTTTGATGCGGTGAAGTTGTCCTGTCCCCTTAGCAGAAAAACACCCCCAAAGCATAATGTTTCCACCTCCATGTTTGACGGTGGAGATGGTGTTCTTGGGGTCATAGGCAGCATTCCTCCTCCTCCAAACACGGCGAGTTGAGTTGATGCCAAAGAGCTCCATTTTGGTCTCATCTGACCACAACACTTTCACCCAGTTCTCCTCTGAATCATTCAGATGTTCATTGGCAAACTTCAGACGGGCATGTATATGTGCTTTCTTGAGCAGGGGGACCTTGCGGGCGCTGCAGGATTTTAGTCCTTCATGGCGTAGTGAAGCCAGAAATCTTTCTGATTGAGAGGGGGTCAAATACTTATTTCCCTCATTAAAATGCAAATCCATTTTTAACATTTTTGACATGCGTTTTTTCTGGATTTTTGTTGTTGTTATTCTGTCTCTCACTGTTCAAATAAACCTAACATTTAAATTATAGACTGATCATTTCTTTGTCAGTGGGCAAACGTACAAAATCAGCAGGGGATCAAATACTTTTTTCCCTCACTGTACTTCCAAAGTTGTGGAAAAATGGCTTAAGGACAACAAAGTCAAGGTATTGGAGTGGCCATCACAAAGCCCTGACCTCAATCCTATAGAAAATGTGTGGGCAGAACTGAAAATGCGTGTGCGAGCAAGGAGGCCTACAAACCTAACTCAATTACACCAGCTCTGTCAGGAGGAATGGGCCAAAATTCACCCAACTTATTGTGGGAAGCTTGTGGAAGGCTACCCGAAACATTTGACCCAAGTTAAACAATTTAAAGGCAATGCTACCAAATACTAATTGAGTGTATGTAAACTTCTGACCCACTTGGAATGTGTTGAAATAAATAAAAGCTGAAATAAATCATTCTCTCTACTATTATTCTGACATTTCACTATCTTAAAATAAAGTGGTGATCCTAACTGACCAATTTGTACTAGGATTAAATGTCAAGAATTGTGAAAAACTGAGTTTTTTAATCTATTTGGCTAAGGTGTATGTAAACTTCCGACTTCAACTGTATATACTGGATTGTCAGATAAAGATGAGAAAGTGAAAAATGGTTGCCCATCCTCTCATTAGATGTCCAAACTCATGAATTGTCACTCAAATTTACAGTGAACCAGTCCGGCAGTTTGTGCAGTACAACCGAATCCTCTACCTTGCCTCATAGTGAGTATTCTATCTCTTACTCTATGTGCTATTTACTAATGCCAAACTGGTAAAAGAAATGTGTCATAAGACTTAACCTACTGAGAACACTACGTCATTTCAACCTGGATACTCGGGTAATATTTGGTTGCGACGTTGATAAATGAGATAACAATTTATATTCACCCACTCAAAAAGACAGCCAAAAGTTAGTTGAATTTCCAATGTGTTATCACTATACTTTCAACCATATAAAAGCACAACCAAATTACGATGTTGCCCAAATGACTATCACTGCGCTTTCAACCATTTAAAAGCGCAGCGAAGTTCAAATGGGAATACAATGTCAGATCTTTAGTTTATTTATACAACAGATTAATGTGTTATTACTGTGCTTCATCTAATAGCAGAACCAAATGACCTGGATTGTAGTTAAGATTACATAAAAGTACATGGTGCAAGTGATCAATGCCGTTCGAGATTCTGCGCAGATTATCACAGCAATTGTGAAGATCTCCACAGACCTGCGACGACCTATGCATGCTATCTTGAACATACACGCCTAAAATGATTACATAACTGTCATGCCCTGACATAGAGTTCGCTAGTTGGTTTGGTCAGGGTGTGAGTATCTATGTGTGTGTGTGTGTGTGTGTGTGTGTGGCCATTGTGAGCTTGACGTTACGTTGCTTTTGTTGTTTTGTCGTGTGTTTACTTTATAAATAAACATGTATGCATTCCACGCTGCTCCTTGGTCCAATCCTGTACTCAACGAACGTGACAATAACAAGGATTGTATAGTTACACTAACCTCAAATTGTGACCATGGAGGTGCTACTCATTTTAAAGTTGTATGTTACATTATTTTCTATGTTACATTATTTTGTAAGATAGACTTCATTCTTGGCTATTTACTGTATTACAAAAGTAATATTGAATTGTGCTTGGTTGACAACACAACCAAATATCAACATTTAAAGGACATGTATCTACTGCTTGGATAGTTCCATCTGTGCCATTGACTTAGTCTGGCTTTAATTCCAATTTGTCTAATAATTGCTATGTTGGATTCACGTCTCCATCTCAACCAAAAATCTAAGTTAAATAATAGGACTAAATCAAATCAAACTTTAAATGAACTTTAAATACAGTTTCATTTGATTTTGTCCTATTCTTTAACTTAGATTTTTTTAGGTGCACTGATATGGCACTCTGAGCTACCTGTCATAACTGGTGACCACATAATGGTTCTTATTCCAGCATCACCTTCATGGGGACATATCTTGTGCTAGTCTGCAGCACAAGTGCCCGGTAAGAAGCCAACTCTTCAGGCAACACTTTTTTCTTACATTTGATTGGTCTTCCTTCAATCATTCCCAATTCCTACTTTCATAACTAAAAGGTCAAGGCACTTTTGTACCATTTAATATCCATTTTTGATTCACTGAAGACAGTATTTGGGTCATTCCATCAATTTGGTGCCTTTTTCTCAAATGTGTATTTTTTTTTTATATTTCACCAAATTCTAACATTCTGTAATAGAGTACATGTTCAACTTCATAAAAAACATTTTCCCATCTCAAGAGGTTAAATTAAAAAAGAAGACAATAGTAAGTGCCTATTAAAGCTGCAATATGTAACTTTTGGGGCGACCCGACAACATTCACATAGAAATGTGAGTTATACATCTGTCATTCTCATTGAAAGCATGTCTAAGAAGCAGTATATCTGTTCTATATCAAATCAAATCAAATCAAATTGTATTGGTCACATGCGCCGAATACAACAGGTGCAGACATTACAGTGAAATGCTTACTTACAGCCCTTAACCAACAGTGCATTTATTTTAAACAAAAAAAGTAAAAATAAAACAACAACAAAAAAAAAGTGTTGAGAAAGAAAAGAGCAGAAGTAAAATAAAGTGACAGTAGGGAGGCTATATATACAGGGGGGTACCGTTGCAGAGTCAATGTGCGGGGGCACCGGCTAGTTGAGGTAGTTGAGGTAATATGTACATGTGGGTAGAGTTAAAGTGACTATGCATAAATACTTAACAGAGTAGCAGCAGCGTAAAAAGGATGGGGTGGGGGGGCAGTGCAAATAGTCCGGGTAGCCATGATTAGCTGTTCAGGAGTCTTATGGCTTGGGGGTAGAAGCTGTTGAGAAGTCTTTTGGACCTAGACTTGGCACTCCGGTACCGCTTGCCGTGCGGTAGCAGAGAGAACAGTCTATGACTAGGGTGGCTGGAGTCTTTGACAATTTTGAGGGCCTTCCTCTGACACCGCCTGGTATAGAGGTCCTGGATGGCAGGAAGCTTTGCCCCAGTGATGTACTGGGCGTACGCACTACCCTCTGTAGCACATTGCGGTCGGAGGCCGAGCAGTTGCCATACCAGGCGCTGATGCAACCAGTCAGGATGCTCTTGATGGTGCACTTGTAGAACCTTTTGAGGATCTGAGGACCCATGCCAAATCTTTTCCGTCTCCTGAGGGGGAAAATGTGTTGTCGTGCCCTCTTCACGACTGTCTTGGTGTGTTTGGACCATGATAGGTTGTTGGCTATGTGGACACCAAGGAACTTGAAGCTCTCACCCTGCTCCACTACAGCCCCGTCGATGAAAATGGGGGCGTGCTCGGCCCTCCTTTTCCTATAGTCCACGATCATCTCCTTTGTCTTGATCACGTTGAGGGAGAGGTTGTTGTCCTGGCACCACACTTCCAGGTCTCTGACCTCCTCCCTATAGGCTGTCTCATCGTTGTCAGTGATCAGGCCTACCACCGTTTTGTCGTTGGCAAACTTAATGATGGTATTGGAGTCGTGCTTGGCCACACAGTCATGGGTGAACAGAGTACAGGAGGGGACTAAGCACGCACCCCTGAGGGGCCCCCGTGTTGAGGATCAGCGTGGCAGATGTGTTGTTGCCTACCCTTACCACCTGGGGGCGGCCTGTCAGGAAGTCCAGGATCCAGTTGCAGAGGGAGGTGTTTAGTCCCAGGGTCCTTAGCTTAGTGATGAGCTTTGAGGGCACTATGGTGTTGAACGCTGAGTTGTAGGCAATGAGCTGCAGTGTTGAGTGCAATAGAGATTGCGTCATCTGTGGATCTGTTGGGGCGGTATGCAAATTGGAGTGGGTCTAGGGTTTCTGGGATGATGGTGTTGATGTGAGCCATGACCAGCCTTTCAGAGCACTTCATGGCTACAGACGTGAGTGCTACGGGTCGGTAGTCATTTAGGCAGGTTACCTTGGTGTTCTTGGGCACAGGGACTATGGTGGTCTGCTTGAAACATGTAGGTATGACAGACTCGGCCAAGGACAGGTTGAAAATGTCCGTGAAGACACTTGCCAGTTGGTCAGCGCATGCTCGGAGAACATGTCCTGGTAATCCGTCTAGCCCTGCAGTCTTGTGAATGTTGACCTGTTTAAAGGTCTTACTCACATTGGCTACGGCGAGCGTGATCACACTGTTGTCTGTAACAGCTGGTGCTCTCATGCATGCTTCAGTGTTGCTTGCCTTGAAGCGAGCATAGAAGTGTTTTAGCTCGTCTGGTAGGCTTGTGTCACTGGGCAGCTCGCGGCTGTGCTTCCGTTTGTAGTCTGTAATAGTTTTAAAGCCCTGCCACTACGGTCACTGTGGGGACGACGTCATCGATGCACTTATTGATGAAGCCAGTGAGTGATGTGGTGTACTCCTCAATGCTATCTGAAGAATCCCTGAACATGTTCCAGTCTGTGCTAGCAAAACAGCCCTGTAGCTTAGCATCTGCGTCATCTGACCACTTTTTTATTAACCGAGTCACTGGTGCTTCCTGCTTTAGTTTTTGCTTATAAGCAGGAATCAGGAGGATAGAGTTATGGTCAGATTTGCCAAATGGAGGGCGAGGGAGAGCTTTTGTATGCGTCTCTGTGTGTGGAGTAAAGGTGGTCTAGAGTTTTTTGCTTGCCTCAAAGCGTGCATAGAAGTAATTTAGCTCGTCTGGTAGGCTTGTGTCACTGGGCAGCTCGCGGCTGGGCTTCCCTTTGTAGTCCGTAATAGTTTGCAAGCCCTGCCACATCCGATGAGCGTCGGAGCCGGTGTAGTAGGATGATGCAAAATGCATCATCATGATATGTGGCAAGTGACACTTCTTGAAATTCCTATATCTTGAAAACTTGACTGCTGACATGAAAAACATTTTGGGAACTGTATCAACAGTGGACTAATGGAAAACATTTCAAATATATAGTTTTTCCTTTAAAAAAAAATTGCTCCGCCATTTCCTGGTTGCTAAAATTCTAATAGTTTGCCTAATTTCAGTTTATGTGACAAAACAACTATAGTGTAGAGTCATTGTACCATCTAAACCGCTGTGAAATATATTTTCTATAACCAAAAATATTGTGTTTTCAGCTGGTGTACAAAACCTAAAATTAAAATACTCAAAAATTAACTTAAGACTGGGAAGCATAGAAATAGCACACATAGAACAGATCTACCGTTTCTTAGATTTGCTTTCAATGGAATGAAATAACTTCAATTTCTATGTGAATTTGGTCGGGTTGCCCAAAAAGTTACATATTGCAGCTTTAAGTGCCAAATAAAGTAACAGGGTTTACTGTAAAAGGGTTGACAATTTCTTCTTAAATCCCCTTGTGACAGGTAGAATGGAAGCTTGTTGTATGCAACAGAGAATGCCAATTGAACGCAAGCTTCACAACATTTGTTCAATTGTAAAAAATATCAAGTTTTGTGGTAAGGTTTGTTAAATTGGTGCTCTGCTCATACTAAAAATTATCTCACTATATCTCATTGGCTTTTTACAGGCGACAGTACCCCACCAACCTCATCCTCTTGGGGATATTTGTAAGTGTCCATGAAGCTATTTCTGCTTGATATTTAGTGGTATGCTTAGTTAGTGCCGCAATGATAAACATTTTACTGAAATTGTGGTACTCAAAATTATGAGGTGAAAACTTTACTAGATCTGTGAAATTGTTGTGTTTGTGATCCTATTTTTGTCCTCACTTATACAGACTTTGGCAATGTCTTACATGGCAGGCATGCTGGCCAGGTAAATTGTGTGTGTGTGTGCATGCATGCGTGCATGTGTAAATATGTGGTGTGTGAGTGTAGACTGTCCCATTTTTTGATGTCTACGGTAATGATGTCTACTGAAAGGTATTGTCATACAGAGCAGTAGTAACTTGGTTATACCTCCCCTGTGTCCATAGCTACCACAACACTAAAGTGGTGATGTTGTGTGTGGGCATCACCGCCATGGTGTGTCTGTTCATCACCCTCTTCTGTTTCCAGACCAAGGTGAGTTTTTACAAGCAGACAGCTAACAGAACAATCTGTATGCCTGTTGTCAGGTTAAATTATTTAGTTTTGTCCAAGTAGTGGCATTTTGATCATTTGTGACTAGTTTCAGGAAACTAGGCATATGTTGCGTGTCACTACTTCACAGGAGAGCCATTTGAACGTAAACCTTTTTTTAAAAATCAAAATGTGTTTTTTGGCGTAGTAGAACTGCATAAGTGTTGCTCTCCACGTTCTGGAGGACCGAGTTTTGAAATCGGTGGAATTAGTGTATGATAGCTAAGGAGATAGAGAAAACACCTGTCTCCGGATTCATCTTCAAACTGAGGGCAACCATGGCATCCGTGACATAGATAGTACACGGGTAAGATAGTCTAGCTAGCTACATTTTCAGATATTACATGTTTCTAATTTTGTCAGAAAGTCATTTTCATTTCAAGTTAAGGTGTACTGTTAGCTAGCTAGCTAACGTTAGCTGGCTGGCTCGCTAGCTAACGTTACGTGTATGATCTGTGTAGTAATATTATTCGTATCTCAGAGCCATTTGCTTTGCTAGTTATAGCCTACATTGAACCTGGTTGGTTAGCTACCTGCAGATTCATGCAGGGTAGTAACGTCATGAGTTGGGATTATGGTTCATTGTTTAGCTAGCTGGCTACATGTCTTAACAAAAGACTCCACTATGCAAGTAACCATTTCAATAGAATATTGTTGATAGACGTTGCTGGTAAATTCGCTGTGGCTACTCCGATTTCAGAGCACTCTCGTCTGTGTGCCAGAGGGCAGAATAACTGATGAATTTACGAATCCTCAACACCCGTTGAATATGGCCGGTGTCAGTAAACGTTGGCAAAAAAGCGTAATTAAATTGTTGCCAGCAGCACAGTTGCAGTCACCAACGCTCTAGATAACATAAAAACAGCCTAACCAGCTCTGCTAGGGCGAGTAAAATGGTCAGAGTGAGCTGTGCTCTCATTTGTGTCTGGAAGTAGCTAGCAAGCTAGCCAACGTTAGCCAGTTAGCTTGGGTGCTTGACAGCTGTTGTTTAGATAGAACGCTCGGATCAACCCTTAAAGAGATGGGTGGGGCTAAAGCTTAAGAGGATGTGAACAATGCTGAATGGGTGTAGACAAAGAAGGCCATTTTCTCAAAAGTGAGGTTACAAGTTTATCAACTTTCAAAGCAGAATTATTTTCCCATTGTTCCTCAACTGTAGTGTATGATATACAATTTTCTAGCTCAGTCTCTACTTTTATCCAATGTAAAAAACACAATTTTACATGTTGCTAAATAAAACCGAATTGAGCCGGTTGGTCACATTTAGCTAGGTTGATTTGACGTCATGTGGCACGTTCAGCAGGGCAGAAGGTTCAGATAGAAATACAGTGCCTAGTGAGTCTACACACTTGCACAGTCTTTACATTTTGCTGCCTTCAAACTTTATCTAAAAAGGATTCAATTGCATATTTACCCAAGATCTACACAACCTACTCCACACCTACAACACACTCCCAGTCCCTCCCGCTGAAAAACATCCCCACAGCATGATGCTGCCACCACCATGCTTCACCGTAGGAATGGTACCAGGTTTCCTTCAGACGTGACACTTGGCATTCAGGCCAAAGAGTTCAATCTTGGTTTCATCAGACCAGAGAATCTTGTTTCTCATGGTCTGAGAGTCCTTTAGGTGCCATTTGGCAAACTCCAAGCGGGCTGTCATGTGCCTTTTACTGAGGAGTGGCTTCCGTCTGGCCACTCTACCATAAAGGCCTGATTGGTGGAGTGCTTCAGAGATGGTTGTTCTTCTGGAAGGTTCTCCCATCTCCACAGAGGAACTCTGTCAGAGTGACACTCACCTCCCTGACCAAGACCCTCAGTTTGGCCGAGCGGCCAGCTCTAGGAAGAGTCTTGGTGGTTGCAAACTTCTTCCATTTAAGAATCAGCGCCACTGTGTTCTTGGGGACCTTCAATGCTGCAGAATTTTTTTGGTAACCTTCCCCATATCTGTGCCTCGACACAATCCTGTCTCAGAGCTCTACGGACAATTCGTTCGACTTCATGGCTTGGTTCTTGCTCTGACATGCACTGTCAACTGTGGGACCTTACATAGACAGGTGTGTGCCTTTCCAAATCATGTCCTATCAATTGAATTTACCTCAGGTGGACTCCAATCAAGTTGTAGAAACATCTCAAGGATGATCAATGGAAACAGAATGCACCTGAGCTGAATTTCGAGTCTCATATGAAAGGGTCTGAATACTTATGTAAATAAGGTATTTCTACTTTTTATTTGTAATACATTTGCAAAAATGTATAAAAACCTGTTTTCGCTTTGTCATTATGGGGTATTGTGTATAGATTGATGAGGGGATTATTATTTTTTTAATCCCATTTTAGGATAGGGCTGTAACGTAACAACATGTGGAAAAAGTCAATGGGTCTGAATACTTTCGGAATGCACTGTAATTTACATAAGTATTCACACCCTTGAGTCAATACTTTGTAGAAGCACCTTTGGTTGCGATAACAGCTTCGAGTCGTCTTGGGTATATCTGTATCAGCTTTGCACATCTGGATTTGGGGATTTTCTCCCATTCTTCCTTGCAGATTTTCTCAAGCTCTGTTTAGTTAGATGGGGAGTGGCTGTGAACAGCAATCTTCAAGTCTTTCCACTGATTTTTCAATGGGATTCAAGTCTGGGCTTTGGCTGGGCCACTCAAGGACTTCCACATTCATGTTCTGTAGCCATTGCAGCGTTGCTTTGGCTTTATGCTTGAGGTCATTGTCCTGTTGGAACGTAAATGTTGTTTGCACTCTGAAGCAGGTTCTCATCTAGGATTTGCCTGCATTTGGAGCCATTCATTGTTCCCTCATTCATTACCAGTGTTGTGACTTTGGCTATGGATATTCCAGATCATTTACTGATTAATTACTGGAAAAATTAATGTACCTAATTTATTAGGTTATCCTATCCAAATTAATCAAAGGAGGGGCACCATTCAGTTTTTTTTAAATATAGAGATTCCTCGAATTAACTCTATCCGTAGTTATCATTAACCGTTATACCAATCCTATATCAGCAATAGTCTTAATCAACAGTCAGTTACTATATTCTTGTTCTGAAAGTCGTTGAGCTCGAAAACTTTAAGGACCCAATCACTTGTAAATGAACTCAAGGTCACAGATTCATTTTTAAGGTTGTATTTACTAGACTAAATAAATTGAGGTAATGAGGTACTTAACAGAGTAAGGCAGGGTATAGGCTAACAGGATTCAACTCAGTTATTGAGGTGAGACTCTTCACAGGTCGATTGACATGAACTTTCATACTTGAACTCAGCAAATGCAACAGTATATATATTCACAAGACTTTTGAGGACAAGATGGTTTTAGCGATTGAGAGGGAAATATGAGAGGCCACACACACTTCACAGCCGTGAAATTATAGGTTCATTCACCAGGAGTTGACAGTGGGCTAGGCTATCAGTTCGCATCCGAACGTGGACAATGCAGCGACAGTATTAATCATGATATGTAATTTAATACTAACAGTCTTACAATAATCAGTTACTGCCACCACTTTTACACAGACACAGTGTCACACAAAAGGGAAATTCAATGCAATGAGGTATTTATGTGAATTTGAGTGTCGTCTGGTTCAGTTGAGTTTCCGTTATGACGGAGTGGTACACAGGGAAAAGGGTTGGTTCGGGGTCCTGGCGTTGGAGTTTCGGTCGAAGAAGGCCCTTGTCGGAGCTCAAGCATAGGCTCTTTCGCTCTCTCAGTTCATTCAGTCCAACGAGATAAAGTTTGTTAAGGCACTCGGGTGCAATAGAATCTTTGGGTCCCCTCTTGGGAGAGATAAAGACTCAGCGGTCCATCGTGAGTGAGCAGAGATGCAGGTTCCTCTCAGGTGATTCTTCTGTTTGAGTAGGATGGTGCAAGTCAAAGTTGCATAGGTTTCTTGCAGCGATGTGTTGGTTTCTAAGGAGATGGTTTATTGAACCTTCCAAGGCTTGGCCTACACCTCACGAAGATCTGATCTCATTTCTGTTTAGTAAGTCCTCTAATTTATAGGTAGACTCAGAGAAGGCGGGCTCTAACGGCCGGACAATGTCATTGGGACCGCCCCATTGATCCGGGGAACGAAACACATTTAATGCTCATTTGAGATAAACCTAAGACTTGCTCATAGGTGTTCACAGAATGTTAAAATATGTTTTGAATTAAAAAAATCTCTTGGATGAATTATGTAACCTGTGGAGTACAAATATGACCATGATGAAACCCAGACATTTTATGTTACAGCAAAATCCACATTATACCTTTTAATAATGTGGGAAAAAGAGAGGAAAAGTATCACAATGTATATTCAGGTTATATCAACAGGTAATATAAACAATATCAACAGAAAACGTGTTTAATTGTCCTTTAGCTCTCTTGGCGCCGTTCCCTCTTCGTTAAGGAGAGTGAGGGAATAACAGTTCCTTTGTTAAAGCACAACTCTGTCGCCCAAGGTCTCTGACGACCTTCCCCCCTTAATACATGTGAGTCGTAAAAGGGGTCTGCTGACTGTCTCCTGACAACCAGCAAGGCATTCAGAGTCGTAAAAGGATGGTGGAGAAGAGCAGTTTGTTCTGTGATGGTTAGAAAGGGGGCGCTGTCAATTACAGGATCTGTAAATCTTGGCATGGAAGGTCATGCTCTCTCAGAAACACTCAACACCTCTTGGAAAGCAGTTCTGGTTTGTCTTTGGCATAAAAATATTTGTAATTGTCTCGCTAAACAATATATCCCAGGGTTGGGTTTTCAGAACACTGAGGCGGCTTTTCCTTTTTACCTGGAGTGTGCTCCTTTCATATTTATTTTGATCCTGACAAACTCCCCAGTCCCTTCAGGTGACAAGCATACCCATAACATGATGCTACCACCACAATACTTGAAAATACAGTTGGTTTCACTGTGTGTTGTTTTGTATTGGATTTGACCCAAACCTGTAGTTTTTAATTTAGGCCAAAAATGTCATGTATTTTCCATGTTGTATTACTTAAAGGCCTTGTTGCAAACATAATGGATGATTTGGAGTGGATTTTTTATCACAGGCTTACTTCTTTTAACTTTGTCATACATGCCAGTGATGTGGAGTGAATGCAATGTTGTTGATCCCTTTATATTTTAAGTATTGTGGGGGCAGCATCATGTTATGGGTATGCTTGTCACCAGCGGGGACTGAAAGGAGCATAGCCCAGGTAAAAGATTAGAGAAAAACCCACCTCAGTCTTCTGAAAACATAACCCTGGGATAGAGTTGTATTTTTCTGCGGGACAATTACACAAATTGTAATGCCAAAGTCACACCAGAATGGCTTTCCAAGAGGTGTTGGGGGTTCCTGAATGGTCCAGCCTCCATCCTGACTTAAATCTGTTTAAAAATCAGATGTAAGGTTTGAATATTGCTGTCCATCAATGATTCCAAGCCACATTTACTGAGCTTGAGCAATTTTGACAAAAACAATGGATATATGTTGCACTGAGAGTTGTGCAAGGTTGATAGAATCATATAAAAAATTATTCACAGCTGTAATGGCTGCCAAAGGTGCTTCCACCAAGTATTAACTCTGGGGTGTGAAGACATACACAATCAATACAACCTCATTTTGTAATTCTTAGTAATTTGGAAAATGTTGTATATTTTTTCTTACACTTTAGAAATGTGGAGTAGGTTGTGTAGATCGATAGGAGAAATTTAACCCTGCACAGATTTGAGATTTAACCCTTTACATTCGTACGGGTTGAAAATGGCAGATTTGGACACTGATAAGTGCTTAAATTGGAACACAGTGACTGTACAGTAACATGCTATACATGACGTCAGAGCTCATGGTCTCCACTTCACAGCTCTAAATGGGTTTTGACTGATGTCCGTTCTGAACTTATGCACTGCACACTACAAGAAGTAGCCCCCATCCCTCCCGCTAATTGGCCAACTTTTGCAAGTGTTTTGTTGTCTGAGTGAGGGAAGTGTTGTACAGTACATTAAGAAGACTCAATGTATTTTGAAAGATGAGACATAGAGGATTATAATAAATGCCGCTTTGATGCCATACAAGCAAGACAAACACCTGTGAGTCCAAATGTGCAGTTCACATTTCCCTATCATAAAACTCATGTCATATACAGTGTCAACGTTTATGATCACTATGTTTGACGTACAGTTACAAGTTGACATGGCGTTATACCCAGGGTTGTATTGAACAGAATGAGCCTATCTTTGTTGTATTGTGAAGAAGATTTGCTACGGACCACGCATCTGAATGCACTCATGATTCCGTTCTATGCGCACCAAAATTACAATCTGTTTCTCTGAATTGCCTTGTGAAAGCCTAACACTGTAAGATTGTATTTTATAATTTAGCTAGTCAGCAATAGAACAAGCTTTAAAATGATGCCCACCTGACCTAGATTGCAATTTATAATGGACCATTTTTGGATTGTGTAAACAAATCAAATGAAATTGTATTTGTCACATGCGCCGAATACAACTGTTGTAGACCTTACAGTGAAGTGCTTACTTACAAGCCCTTAAGCAGTTTTAAGAAAGAATACACCCCCAAAAAAGTAATATATATATATATATATATATATATATATATATATATATATATATATATAAAAGTAACTAATAATTAAAGAGCAGCAGTAAAATAACAATAGCAAGGCTATATACAGGGGGTACCTGTCCCGAAGTGACTATGCATAGATAATAAACAGAGAGTAGCAGCAAATAGTCTGGGTACTGGATTAGATGTTCAGGAGTCTGGATTAGATGTTCAGGAGTCTGGATTAGATGTTCAGGAGTCTGGATTAGATGTTCAGGAGTCTGGATTACCGTATTGGTCCGAATATAAGACGGCCTTTTTTCCCCTCGAAATAGGTCCAAAAAAGTCGGGTCGTCTTATATTCGGGGTCTAGTATTCAGAGCGCAGTTTCTCTTCTTCGGCGCTCCCTTTAAATGTCAATACACATTCGCGGGCACAGATGGCGCCAAAAATTCGTTCCGGACGGAGGGAAGAGGCGTCCTTAACAACCAGCCCGTTACCGGTGTTTAAAGATGGAAAGACAGGCTGACCATTTAGAGACAAGTGGCTCAAAAGTGGGCCAGGTCAATAAACAACAGCGGAGGAGCTATGATGCCAATTTCAAAATAATGGTTGTCAATAAGGCAGAGTCATCTAACAACTGCCAAGCTGCCAAGACATTCGGGGTCACTGAGTGTAATGTAAGAAGATGGCGAGCAGAAAAACAACGTCTAAAAGATGCTAACAGTCAGCGAAAATCCTTCCGTGGTCCTCAAAGTGGTCGTTTCATTGAGGTTGACCGGAGGGTTTTTGAATATGTCAGGGAAAAAAGAAGTGAGGGAATGCCCATTACCAGAGCTGTCATCCAGGTTAAGGCCCTGGAAATCGCCAGAGAGCTCAACATCACTGGATTTAAAGCCAGCCTCGGCTGGTGTCGTAGGATGATGCGGCGTAATGGACTGTCACTTAGACGGAGAACGAGTTTGGCCCAACGCCTGCCGTCAGACTTCGGAGAGAAGCTGCTTTCGTTTCAGCGCTTTGTTATCAACCTGAGGAAGAAGCACTCCTACCCGCTGGATCAGATCGGCAATGCTGATCAGACACCCGTTTATTTCGACATGCCAACATCGGTGACTGTCAATAGAAAGGGAGAAAAGTCTGTGTGTGAGGGATAGAGAGACATCGGAGGAGAAGTTTGGCGAATTTTTGTTAAGTTTAGTTAAATGTGTGGCCTGTATTTTCTCTGTTATTTAAAAATGTTGCTTTATTATTGCTTGATATTAATTTTGAATCATACTGTACATAGTTTGCCTTTGTGTTTAATTCACTGTGTTTTTAATATTGTTATTTTAAAATAAAATGAAGTTCTTTGTTCGGCAAATCTAGTCTGCAAATCTGTTTTTCTAAATGTTTGTGTTGAAAAACGGGGGGTCGTCTTATAATCAGGGTCGTCTTATATTCGGACCAATACGGTAGATGTTCAGGAGTCTTATGGCTTGGGGGTAGAAGCTGTTGAGAAGCCTTTTGGACCTAGACTTGGCACTCCGGTACCGCTTGCCGTGCGGTAGCAGAGAGAACAGTCTATGACTAGGGTGGCTGTAGTCTTTGACAATTTTTAGGGCCTTCCTCTGAAACAACAACAATAATTGTGTGATAGCGGGGATGCAGGGCTGTGATCCAAGCAAAACAACTACAAGTGTGCTTGCTCTACTTCCTCAACGACACATCTAGGAGAGCTTAAAAAAAAGCACCTTATAGTTGAAGACTCTTGTTTGAGTCATAAAAGTGCATGGAAATCACTTTGGAGAGGTGTGTGGCCACTTGGAGACACCAGTTAGTCCTCTCACTCAAACCCTTGTCATTTCTTTGTCTAATGTTGCACCTACCCCCAAATTTCCAACAATATTCTTATCATGTTACTGAATGTTTCCAGAGTATTTTCAGATTTCATTATCAACAAATGTGGCGAAAAGTACAGTAAATGTCAAATAAAACCAACAGTGTAATGTTTGAATTCAGTCTTGTGTCAGGTGAACTGTTGTGTCCTTATAATAATAATATAATATGCCATTTAGCAGACGCTTTTATCCAAAGCGACTTATTTTTGTGTATGGGTGGTCCCGGGGATCGAACCCACTACCTTGGCGTTACAAGCGCCGTGCTCTACCAGCTGAGCTACAGAGGACCACACCTTTAGTCTAATAATTTTCCCATAATCTCCAAATTATTCCCTTTTAATTGCTACCATGGTTATGCATATGCCTTCCATATTTATTCTGTAAGAAACATTTCAATTTAGCTCTATCCATATAGGCCAATTTCCACGAGTGTAAAGGGTTCATTTTAAGGCATCAAAATGTGAAGACTGTGCAAGGGCTGTGTAGACTTTCAGTAGCGACTGCATGTTATGTAACACTAACAGGCCTCCCTGACATGTAGAATAATAACTCATTTTGAGTTATTCATGGCATTCCTATTTGCAACATTCAACAATGTTTGCCTACTGAACGTGGCCCTGGTTTTCTCTGTGTTGTCTTGACATTGTTTTTCACCGCCCTTGTGTGCCAGGTTGATTTTACGTCGTGTCAAGGTCTTCTCTTCTCTCTCATGATGGTGCTGATGGTGACTGGACTGTTGCTCCTCTTCACCGCCCCCTTCGGATATGTAAGCAACACACCTCTTAAAGGCCCAGTGCAGTCAAAAATGTAATTTTCCTGTGTTTTCTATATACTGAACAAAAATATAAACGCAACATGTCAAGTGTTGGTCCCATGTTTCATGAGCTGAAATAAAAGATTCCAGCAATTTTCCATACGCATAAAAAGCGTATTTCTCTCAAAGTTTGTGCACAAATTTGTTTACATCCCTGTTAGTGAGCATTTCTCCTTTGCCAAGATAATCCATCCACCTGACAGGTGTGGAATATCAAGAAGCTGATTAAACAGCATGATCATTACACAGGTGCACCTTGTGCTGGAGACAATAAAAGGCCACTCTAAAATGTGCAGTTTTGTCACACAACACAATGCCACAGATGTCTCAAGTTTTGAGGGAGTGTGCAATTGGCATGCTGACTGCAGGAATGTCCACCAGAGCTGTTGCCAAATAATGTAATGTTCATTTCTCTACCATAAGCTGCCTCCAACGTCATTTTAGAGAATTTGGCATTACGTCCAACCGGCACATCCGCAGACCACGTGTAACCACGTCACCCGAGGACCTCCACATCCGGCTTCTTCACCTGCGGGATCGTCTGAGACCAGCCACCCGGACAGCTGATGAAACTGTGGGTTTGCACATTTGAAGACTTTCTGCACAAACTGTCAAAAACCGTCTCAGGGAAGCTCATCTGCATGCTCGTCGTCCTCACCAGAGTCTTCCTCACCAGCAACTTCACACAGCCATTGAAGAGGAGTGGGGACGTCATTCCACAGGCCACAATCAACAGCCTGATGAACTCTATGTGAAGGATATGTGTTGCGCTGCATGAGGCAAATGGTGGTCACACCAGATACTGACTGGTCTTCTGATCCACGCCCCTACATAAAAAAAAAGGTATCTGTGACCAACAGATGCATATCTGTATTCCCAGTCATGTGAAATCCATAGATTAGGGCCTAATTGAATTTATTTACATTGACTGATTTCCTTATATGAACTTTAACTCAGTAAAATCTTTTAAATTGTTGCATGTTGCGTTATATTTTTGTTCAGTGTATATTTAAACACTTTGAAGGTTGGAATAATACTGTGAAATTATGAAAACTATGATAATTATCTTTTAGTGTAAGAGCTGTTTGAAAAGACCGCCTGAAATTTGAGCCTGTTATGGTGGGAGGGAGTTTTGACCTTCAATGGTGACATCACCATGCGGTAGGGTAAGCGTACATATTCAGCCCACGTACCCATTAAGCCCACTTCCATCTTTGGATTCAAATAAAAAACAAAAAAGTTCTGCTATTTAATGTTTCAACCAGTTCATGTGGTTGTTATATCCATACCAGTTTTATGCTAAGCCGATCAGATGTTATTGACAGTTATGTCTAAGTTCCTACTACTGACCAATTTCAAAGCTGCAAAAAACCTTTGGTGTAGAAGAAGCGACTCTCAGATAAACAAGTCAAGTTCTAAAACTTCACATGAGAGATTAATCTTAAATTTGATCTCCACTTTTCTTACAAAAATAAGAGCAATATATGTTAGAAAGGTCTAAACTTTTGGTGGGCGTAATAGGTACACTTACCCCAAATGAGTTAATAGACCAATAAGCCAAATTATTGCTTGACAGATTGCTCTTTGATAAGAAGCTATTTTGTTTCTTTTTGACCATTTTAATCGAAAACAATCGCAGTACTTAATTGTTATCCAGAAATGATTTGATATTGAGATAAAAATGGCTGCAATGGACCTTTAAAGCTACGATCTATGATTGGTAAAATCCATTTAAATTAATGATATATACTTATTGATTCTTGAAGAATATACCTTATAAATGCTTGATGAGCTTAATTCAACTATGCACACCATCACAAACCAAAATATAAGCTTGTTTTACTTCATTGTTTGTACACAATGTAATTGTAAACAAACATTGTATCTTCAAACCATGGTTAAAACTATCATTTTGATCTCATGGATAGTCAGTCCTTGCATCCATAGCTCAGTTTATAAATTTGAGAGTGGTTACATTACTCCAGCCCCCTTCCACAGCCAATTACCAAAACAAGGGGTGGGGCGGCCGTTTTGTTGTTTTTTGAATCAGAGACTGTAGCTTTAAGTCCTAGGGCTCTATTTTAACAAACCTAATGCAATGGCAAATCTTAGCGCTGGCGGTAGGGCTATACTGTAGGTCGGTGGGTGTGTCAGAAATATTTTTGCAATTTTACTGCTTGAATTATGAGCGCAATAGCTGGCGGTGGCGTGAAAGGGCTGGGTAAATTATACGTGTGACGAGGACTTGACCGCTCACTAGCCAATCAACGCGTTTCATGGCTTAATACAGCATGCCGTTGTCTCAAGTTCTGTAGGTTGTTGACGGTCTTTGTGTTGTCATCAACTCCAATTCGGCCGGGGGCGTGGAATATTCTCTTCCTAGTCCATTGTGGATTGATGCAGTTGATTAAATAGTATAGGCTACAGTAGGGTTCTCCAACCGCGCCAACACCGGCCTCGGGGACGGCCAGGAGGATGCGGAGCAGGACGAGCTGGATGGCGACGGTGGAAATCCCGCAATAGGATGGGATCGAGGATATCCCTTACCGGAACCCAGCACCGCTCCTCCGGACCGTGCCCCTCCCAATCCACGGGGTACTGAAGGCCCCCCACCCGACGCCTCAAATCCAGGATGGAACAGACGGAGTACGCCGGGGCCCCCTCGATGTCCAGAGGGGGTAGAGGAACCTCCCGCACCTCAGACTCCTGGAGCGGACCAGCCACCACTGGCCTGAGGAGAGACACATGGAAAGAGGGGTTAATACGGTAATCTGGAGGGAGTAATAACCTATATGTAACCTCGTTTATCCTCCTCAGGACTTTGAACGGCTCCACAAACCACGGGCTCAGCTTCCAGCAGGGCAGGTGGAGGGGAATATTCTGGGATGAGAGCCAGACTCGATCACCCGGTACCAAGATCGGGGCCTCACTGCAGTGGCGGTCAGCGTTGGCCTTCTGGCGACGCACAGCGCCCTGGAGGTGGACGTGAGCTGCATTCCACGTCTCCTCTGTGCGCCGAAACCAGTCATCCACCACAGGAGTTTCGGTCTGGCTCTGATGCCACGGTGCCAGAACCGGCTGATAACCTAAAACACATTGAAATGGCGATAGGTTAGTGGAGGAGTGGCAGAGAGAGTTCTAGGCATATTCTGCCCATGGCAAGAACACCGACCACTCCCCCGGCCGGTCCTGGCAGTAGGACTGCAGGAACCTACCCACATCCTGATTCACCCGTTCCACCTGCCCATTATTCTAGGAGTGAAACCCAGAAGTCAGGCTGACCGAGACCCCCAGACGTTCCATGAATGCCTTCCAGACCCTGGATGTAAACTGGGGACCCCGGTCAGACACTATGTCCTCTGGCACTCCGTAGTTCCAGAAGACTTGAGTAAACAGGGCCTCCGCAGTCTGCAGGGCCGTGGGGAGACCGGGCAGAGGAAGGAGGCGGCAGGCCTTTGAAAAGCGGTCCACAACGACCAGGATGGTGGTGTTACCCTGAGAGAGGGGAAGACCAGTGAGAAAGTCAATACACAGGTGGGACCATGGCCGTTGTGGAACTGGTAAGGGCTGTAACTTACCCGCTGGGAGGTGCCTAGGGGCCTTACTCTGGGCGCACACCGAGCAGGAGGAGACATACACCCTCACGCCCTTAGCCAAGGTAGGCCACCAGTACTTTCCGGTCAGGCAGCGCACTGTATGGACGATACCTGGGGGGGGACGTGTGTGCCCAATAGATCAGACGGTCACGGACAAGAGACGGCACGTACTGCAGCCCAGCTGGGCACTAAAGTGGAGATGGCTCTGTGTGTAACGCCCGCTCTATGTCCGCGTCCATCGCCCACACTACCGGCGCCACAATGCGAGGCCGGGAGTATGGGGGTGTTGTCTATGGGCCTCTCTCTCCTCTGTGTCGTACAGCCGTGACAGTGCGTCTGCCTTCACGTTCTTCGTACCCAGGATGTAAGACAGTGTAAAATCAAACCAGGTGAAGAATAGGGCCCACCTGGCCTGGCGATGGTTCAACCTCCTCGCTGCCCGGATGTACTCCAGGTTACAGTGGTTCGTCCAGACGAGGAAAGGGTGTTTCGCCCCCTCGAGCCAGTGCCTCCACACGGTCAGGGCTCGGACAACAGCCAACAGCTCCCGATCACCAACGTCGTAGTTCTGCTCTGCCGGGTTGAGCTTCTTGGAGAAGAAGGCACAGGTGCGGAGCTTGGGTGGCATGCCCGATCGTTGAGATAGGACAGCGCCTATCCCTACCTCGGACGCATCCACCTCCACTACGAACGGTAGTGATGGATCGGGATGGGCCAGTACTGGGGCCGAGGTGAACAGAACCCTCAGGTTACTGAAGGCCCTGTCAGCCTCAGCAGACCAGCGGATCCGGGACGGCCCACCCTTCAACAGAGAGGTGATGGGAGCTGCGACCTTGCCAAAGCCCTGGATAAACCTCCAATAGTAGTTGGCAAAGCCAATTAACCGCTGCACCTCCTTTACCGTGGTTGGAGTCGGCCAATTACGCACGGCTGAAATGCGATCTCCCTCCTTCTCCACACCTGAGGTGGTAATGCGGTATCCGAGGAAGGAGACGGACTGTTGGAAAAAACAGACACTTTTCTGCCTTGGCATAAAGGTCATGTTCCAACAGTCGGCCCAGCACTTTGCGAACCAGGGACATTCTGGAATACACCAGAATGTCATCGATGTAGACCACTACACCGCAACCAAGCATGTCCCGAAACACCTCGTTCACAAAGGACTGGAAGACGGATGGAGCATTCATCAAACTGTAAGGCATCACCAGGTATTCACAATGCCCCGTGGTTGTGCTGAATGCTGTCTTCCACTCGTCCCCCTCTCGGACATCCATGCCATAACCAACCGCGTTACCACTAAGACCAGCTGTTGGTTGGTCTTAAATATCCCCACCAGTGCTGCCTGAAATTGGCACTTTGGTGCACTAAGGACACACCTCAGATATTGCCACCCCTCCCACCTCAGCGCAAGCGAGCACATATAACACAGGTAAATTACCAATCCTTGCGCTAGGGTTTGAGAACAGAATAGCACCGGCTTTAACAGGTCGAAATTGTAAACAAGCATGCGTTTGACAATTGTGCTAGCTTAACGCTAGCCTTAAAGTTACTGCCACACAGAGATTTTGTGTCTGAAAAATGGATAGAGCCAATGGTTTATGTAATCTGTTGACGGATGATGGACAACGGAGATCATTGTCTGTCAAAAAATTCACAATATGTCCGCCTTTGTGCACATAAAACTTAGATGAGCCGGTTTAAAAATGATGAATGCATATGCGTTTTCAAACGTCTCTGTGTGGCCACAGCCTATCCTGCTCACAAACCTGGAACTTTCTCGCAGCTCTCCCACTGACTCACGATTTACGTGAAAATTCGACGTGAGTTTGTACCTTGTTGGACATGACCGTCTCCTCTCATTGTCTCCTCTCATATTGACTAGCGTGGGTCCTTTTTATGCTGCGTTTATAAATTATGAGTATGTTTCTGATCATGCTGTCTTGTCTTTCACAGATACCTTGGTTGCAGACAGCGTATGCTGGACTGGGTGCACTTGTCTTCACTTTGGTACTTTGCTTAATCATCAGTGAATTAATAACCACGTAACGAGTGTATGATTGCTGCGGTCTTGGGACAGGTGTCTCTTGTAAAAGTAAAAGTAAAATATAATCACCTGTATAAATATAAGGATGTACTGTATATACACTACCAGTCAAAAGTTTGGACACACCTACTCATTACAGGGTTTTTCTTTATTATTACTATTTTCTACATTGTAGAATAATAGTGAAGACATCAAAACTATGAAATAACACATATGGAATCCTGTAGTAACCAAAAAAGTGTTAAACAAATCACAATGTATTTTATATTCTTTAAAGTAGCCACACTTTGCCTTGATGACAGCTTTGCACTTTTGGCATTCTCTCAAACTGCTTTATGAGGTAGTAACTTTGAATGCATTTCCATTAACAGGTGTGCCTTCATAAAAGTTAATTTGTGGAATTTATTTCGGAATGTGTTTGAGCCAATCAGTTGTGTTGTGACAAGGTAGAGGGGGGGGGGTATACAGAAGATAGCCCTATTTGGTAAAAGACCAAGTCCATATTATGGCAAAAACACCTCAAATAAGCAAAGAGAAACGACAGTCCATTATTACTTTAAGACATGAAGGTCAGTCAATATGGACAATTTCAAGAACTTTGAAAGTTTCTTCAAGTGCAGTCGCAAAAACCATCAAGCACTATGATGAAACTTGCTCTCATGCGGACCGCCACAGGAATGGAAGTCCCAGAGTTACCTCTGCTGCAGAGGATAAGTTAATTAGAGTTACCAGCCTCAGAAATTGCAGCCCAAATAAATTCTTCACAGAGTTCAAGTAACAGACACATCTCAACATCAACTGTTCAGAGGAGACTGTGTGAATCAGGCCTTCATGGTCGAATTGCTGCAAAGAAACCACTATTAAAGGACACCAATAAGAAGAAGAGACTTGCTTGGGCCAAGAAACACAAGCAATGGACATTAAACGGTGGATATTTGTCCTTTGGTCTGGAGTCCAAATTTGAGATTTTTGGTTCCAACCACCGTGTCTTTGTGAGACGCGGTGTGGGTGAACGGATGATCTCTGCATGTGTATTCCCCACCATAAAGCTTGGAGGAGGAGGTGTTATGGTGTTGGGGTGCTTTGCTGGTGACACTGTCTGTGATTTATTTAGAATTCAAGGCACACTTAACCAGCATGGCTACCACAGCATTCTGCAGCGATACGCCATCCCATCTGGTTTGGGCTTAGTGGGACTATCATTTGTTTTTCAACAGGACAATGACCCATCACACCTCCAGGATGTGTAAGGGCTATTTTACCAAGAAGGAGAGTGATGGAGTGCTGCATCAGATGACCTGGCCTCCACAATCCCCCGACCTCAACCAAATTGAGATTGCTTGGGATGAGTCGGACTGCAGAGTGAAGGAAAAGCAGCAAACAAGTGCTCAGCATATGTGGGAACTCCTTCAAGACTGTTGGAAAAGCATTCCAGGTGAAGCTGGTTGAGAGAATGCCAAGAGTGTGCAAAGCTGTCATCAAGGCAAAGGGTGGCTATTTGAAGAATCTCAAATATATAATATATTTTGATTTGTTTAACTTTTTTGGTTACTATATGGTTCCATATGTGTTATTTCATAGTTTTGATGTCTTCACTATTTTTCTACAATGTAAACATTTTTAAAAATAAAGAAAAACCCTTGAATGAGTAGGTGTGTCCAAACATTTGACTGGAAGTGTATATTTTTAAAGCCACAAATGTGAACGTTAGTGATAACTAGTGAGGATGAAAATTATAATATTCTAGGACCTTGTGTTAATCCTCTCTCTCCCCCAATCTCTCATTCTTTCTCTCCCTTCCCCTTCTCTCTCCTCCCCCTCTCTTCTGTAGTTCTTAGCCTTTGACGTGCAGCTGCTGATGGGCAACCGGCGGTACTCTCTGAGTCCCGAGGAGCACGTGTTCGGGGCGCTGTGCCTCTACATGGACGTGGTCTACATCTTCGTCTTCCTCCTGCAGCTGTTTGGGAGTCAGGATTGAAGTTGTACGACCTTGTAGTCACGTTCAATAGCCGCTTTACTCTCTCTCTGCCTCTTCAAATGCACACACCTACTCTGATAGCCTTTCGCACTACTTCTGTTTGGTCACACTCACACAAGCACACTTTTGAGAGAAGATACATCTACATACACACATACTGGCACATATTTGTAAGCTGACTCAAATACACACACAGACACACACGGTACACTCAGACAAACTCCCACAGCCGGACTGTGGGGTCTCTTATAAAAGCAGGATTTACATATACTTTTCCTCTCCCTGAGTTTCTCTTATGTGTGCGGTAAATGTATTATTTTTGGAGTAACAACTCAATTCAATTTCGATTTTTTTATATCATTGAAGTTGTGTAGGGCTATTATTCCTAGACTACTGTGTGTGACTGATGTGACGTCAACTCTGTCTGCACTGGCAGACTCTTACCTCTAGGGGGCACTGCATGCCTTGCCACTTCCTCTGGAATGTTCTTCACTGGTTTGAAATGATGCTAGCTGTGGGACTGTGTAAGGGTTTGAACTGATCTAGGGCAGTGTAAGGTAAGCAGGGCCGGCGTTATCGGCGGGCCTTAGGGGGCCTGGCCCGCCCTACTGTACCTCCTTGCCCGTCCAAATAAAATATTGAAATATTGATCAGTTATTTGACCGAGACGTGGCAACAGAAAAGACGCATCAATCTCAGTTAAAGCATCTGAGCGAGCGAACAGTATGTGTAGACCATGTATCCAATGCTGTCTATACCAAAAGAGTATGGTATGTCATACTATTTCTGGCCAGACAGCATCAGATACATGAGCTACATATAGAGTGGCGCTGTTTCGCTCGCTCTGATGCTTTCTCCAGTGATATAGTTTCAGCAGAGAGGAAGAGGCGAAGCGAGAGGGCTCACAAAATCTGTCCAGAATAAGCCCAATGCGTTTCTATGGGAATAATATGCAGACCTAAACTTGTCGCCTGCCTTTGACTGAGGAATTTTCTCTACTTCAAAGTTATGTGCCCGTGTAACAAGGTTGTCAGGGCAGATTCCAAGTTAGAATATACCTTGGAATTAAGGATTGGTTCACTATTTTACAACCAAATCTCTATTGATGTAAATTGCATGTTATAGTAAGGTCCAGACAGTTTTTTTGCAATCTCACTTGGTTTTTAGAAACTTACCACACCTGCAATAGACTTCCTCATTGCTCGTTTTGCAGTATGGGGGCTACGGAAAAGCATGAACAAAGGCTCCAAAAACACCCAAATACATCCTTTTAGAAACAGCAAAGTTCTCATTAAAGTGATGCAGGTCTTTAGATGTCTTACACATGAAATAGTGAAAAGTGCAAATCCAATACATTAACTTGTAATGTAATTAAAGCTAAGTCACACCTCAAATGAAGTGCAAGTCAAAAAGCCTGTATAATCCATTGATAAAGCCTTCAAACATTAGCTTTATAAATCATTTCTGAACTAATTTAAAACGTGTGTCACCAAAACACCTTACAACCTATGTCACCTTCTAACAGTAGTTTATGAATGATTTATAAAGCCTTCATGTCTTGTGACAGAAACGGTGTGACTGCAGACTTAAATTTTGGGTGACCCAAAATTGTACCATTCAGGTTGAAGCTTATTTTTTCAGCAAACATTTCTGGGTGTTTGACACCGACTACGATCATCCTTGAAATACATTCTTAATATGTGAAATATATATTTATAATGATGTGAGTAGTTAGTCATTTATTATTTAGCCTACCCTTGCTAAAAATGAATTGTATTAATGTATTTTACTTATTCTTGTTCACCAACTAGTCTAGAGGCCTGGTAAGCACGACTTTTTTAAACTTCATATTTATCAATGCTTTAATTAGTTTTACTTGCCATTGGTAGAGCATGGCGCTTGCAATGCCCGGGTTGTGGGTTTGATTCCCACGGGGGACCAGGACGAAAAAATATGACAATGTATGCACTCACTACGCTCTGGATAAGAGCGTCTGCTAAATGAAAAAAAAGTTTTAAAACATTTCAATGCAAGTAGGGTATGGGCTTGTTATGTAATGTGGGGGCAATATTGGTCATTTCTTAGGTTGGGTGGAAAACATGTAAATGAACATTTACCTAAGTAGTATTCCTATTCCTACTTATTATTACTTAGATCTTGTTCCGGTTAAGGTATGTTGTGTGTTCTACCTTGGACTTCACGTTTCGGTTGTTGTTTTGTCGTTGTGTTTAGAATAATAAACATGTACGTATATCACGCTGCGCCTTGGTCTGACCCGTCATTCAACGAACGTGACAGAAGATCCCACCAAACGAGGACCAAGCAGCGTGCCCAGGCGGAGCGAATAGCCATGTCACAGGTGGGCAATTTGTGGTCATGGGAAGAGATATTTGCGGGGAGAGGACCATGGGCTAAGGTAGATGCCCAGGCAGGAAAGGTGCAACGGCAACACGGAGGAGGCCGGTCGAGGAGGAAGCCCGAGAAGCAGCCCCAATAAATGTTTTTGGGGGGGCACACGGGGTGGTTGGCGGAGCCTAGTGTCAGAGCAGAGCCAACCCGTACTCACGCGAGGAAGCGTATGACTGGGCAGGCTCCGTGTTATGCAGAGCTACGTACTGTGTCGCCAGTGCGCCGGCACAGTCCTGTACGTCCTGTGCTTGCACCACGCACGTGCCGTGCGAAGATGGGCATCCAGCCAGGACGGGGTGTGCCGGCTCAACGCTCCTGGTCTCCAGTACGCCTCCTCGGTCCCGCATATCCTGCGCCAGTTCTACGAACTGTATCGCCAGTGCGTGTGCCCAGCCCAGTGCATCCTGTGCTGATGCCTCACACATACTGTGCGGAAGTAGGAATCCAGCCAGGACGGGTTGTGCCAGCTCTCCGCTCCAGACCTCCAGTCCGCCTCCACAGTCCGGCCCGGCCTGTTCCTGCTCCTCGCACCAAGCCAGTGGTGCGTGTCGCCAGCCCGGCCCGGCCTGTTCCTGCTCCTCGCACCAAGCCAGTGGTGCGCGTTGCCAGCCCGGCCTGTTCCTGCTCCTCGCACCAAGCCAGTGGTGCGTGTCAGCCCGTCCCGGCCTGTTCCTGCTCCTCGCACCAAGCCAGTGGTGCGCGTCGCCAGCCCGGCCCGGCCTGTTCCTGCTCCTCGCACCAAGCCAGTGGTGCGCGTCAGCCCGTCCCGGCCTGTTCCTGCTCCTCGCACCAAGCCAGTGGTGCGCGTCGCCAGCCCGGCCCGGCCTGTTCCTGCTCCTCGCACCAAGCCAGTGGTGCGCGTCGCCAGTCCGGCCCTGCCCGTTCCTGCCCCTCGCACCAGACCAGTGGTGCGTTTGTCCAGTCCGGCACAGCTGCTCCATTCCGGAGCCAGAGCAGTCCGCTCCACCGGTGCCTGATCCAGTTCCGGTCAGCTGTTCCACTCTGGAGCCAGAGCAGTCCGCTCCACCGGTGCCTGACCCAGCTCCGGTCAGCTGCTCCACTCCGGAGCTAGAGCAGTCCGCTCCACCGGTGCCTGATCCAGCTCCGGTCAGCTGCGCCACTCCGGAGCCAGAGCAGTCCGCTCCACCGGGGTCCAGTCCAGCTCCGGTCAGCGGCTCCACTCCGGAGCCAGAGCAGTCCGCTCCACCGGTGCCTGATCCAGCTCCGGTCAGCGGCTCCACTCCGGAGCCAGAGCAGTCCGCTCCACCGGTGCCCAGTCCAGCTCCGGTCAGCGGCTCCAGTCCAGACCATGACGTCAGCCCCTCTCCAGGTTCGGGGTCTCCCACACCAGGGTCCAGACAGGGCCTGGCATATCGTGGGAGGAAGGAGAGGGGAAGCAGCGCGCTGAGGTCCAGACCAGACCAGGGGCGCAACAGGGAGGCGGAGAGTGAGAGGTCGTCACGCCCCGAGCCGGATGCCCACCCGGCCCCTACCTTGTTATGTTTATGTTGTGCGGTCGGAGTCCGCACATTTGGGGGGGGGGGGGGGGGGGGGGGTACTGTCACGCCATGACTCAGGGGACTCTTATATGTTGAGTCAGGGTGTGTATATTCCTTGTTGTGCTTTTTCTATGTTGTATTCTAGTATGTATATCTCAATGTTGGCCGGTGTGGTTTCCCAATCAGAGGCAGCTGTCGCTCGTTGTCTCTGATTGGGGATCATACTTAGGCAGCCTATTGGCACTGTGTAGTTGTGGGATCTTGTTCCGGTTAAGGTATGTTGTGTGTTCTACCTTGGACTTCACGTTTCGTTTCGGTTGTTGTTTTGTCGTTGTGTTTAGAAGTTAATAAACATGTACGTATATCACGCTGCGCCTTGGTCTGACCCGTCATTCAACGAACGTGACAATAGGTGTCACCAGTTTGAGGAAACTGCTTTAACCACATAATCAAGAGAATGGAGGTGTCCTAGTTGTGTATGAGTATGTATACGGTACACTATTAAACCCATATGACTCTTGATATAATTTTGAATTTTACTTAAAGGCCCAGTGCAGTCAAAAACATGATTTTCCAGTGTTTTATATATATTTCCACACTATGAGGTAGGAATAATACTGTGAAATTGTGAAAATTATGATAATACACTTTTAGTGTAAGAGCTGTTTGAAAAGAACACCTGACATTTCAGCCTGATTTGGTGGGATGAAGTTTTGGCCTGCCTGGTGACATCACCTGGTGGTAAATTAGTTAATAGACCATTAAGAAATAGACTTCCAAACCTCTCTTCCAATAACAGCTAGTTTTCACTCAGACCACTCCCAGACAGACCTAGCAAAAATATTGCTTGAGAAATTGCTCCTGCTAAGAATTTTCTTTGTTTATTTTTGACAATTTTGATTGAAAACAATCACAGTAATCACAGAAATGATTTGATATTGAGATAAAAACAGCTGCATTGGGCCTTTAATTGACTCTGGGTCACAACTCTGATGAATCAATGCTATTATTACTACTTTCCCCCTCGAAATCAGTATTATTTTAAATAGTAAATGAAAGACGATGTTGTTTGACTGTGGTGTATTGCACCGATACTTCAAATACTCAACATAATAATAATATTATTATTATCCACGAATTATGTATGGTTTCTTATACTAGATTTTGACCTTATATTACACTTAAATCATGCTAATTGCTAGCCTAGTGCACCAGACTGACCACTCACGTTCTGCTTCACTTGATGAGGCTAGCAAATTGCAGGTATGGATAATATTGTGGATTTTTCTGCTCATAGAACAAACCTGCACACTTACTGGGACGATGTTCAGACCCACAATGGGTCTTCTTCAGGATCTTCATTACTTAAGAGTATAGCTACAACAGTTGATATTCTATTCACATTGAACTATTTGCTTAACCCAGCACTTGGCAAGTGCTATATGGTTTGCAGATAACACCTGAAGAATTAAATGTTGAGGGCCAAAATGGAATGTTG